TTGTGACCGACGGCAAGAAAAGTGTGGCCACGTATACGCCCCGCGAGGACATAGACTACGGACGCATATACTGTTGGGCCGAGAGTAGCGCCGGTAAACAGCGAGAGCCCTGTGTTTTCTTTGTCATACAAGCGGGTATTGTATTATATTTTGTGTGATAACCTATTTGTAGCGATAATTTAATTGACAACTTATTGGTTGGCAATATATTTAGGACCTCCCGATCCGCCCGACAACTGTTCCCTAACCAACATAACCGCTCACACGCTTACCATTGAATGCCTGCCCGGATATTCCGGTGGTTTGGATCAGATATTTTATTTGGAGGTCTTCAGCGCCAATCCGAACCGCCTGTTAGCGAACCTGAGTTCAACGGAATATCCATTTTTCATCGCTCATGGATTGCCGGCCGGCTATGCCTTCCGTCTCATCCTATACTCGACTAACACGAAGGGAAAGAGCAAAAGCATTACCGTTACCGGCAATACACTACTCGCCGCTCAATGGAAAAGTGGTTTGTGTTTTAACATTGAAATTACTGTTCAATTTTCGATAACTAAACCCATAAACAAGAATATTCTGTTACCATATTATATAATTAACTATAAAAACAGTGTCAATGCAAACAATAATGAAAGAGATATTCACGATTGCGATTAATACGGAAGACAATTATTTAAGACTCACTCACACTCTCTCTCGATAGACTCGAGACGACAATTAGTATAAATAACACATTATTTTTCTAATTTCACACAAAGACATGGATTTCAACTTAACTTCTGTTACAATTTTCTTCACACAAAACAGTTTCACTAAATTTGTTATAAATTTTCTACGAAATCAAATCAAAAATATTTTAATTAACATTGAATTTAAGATAACTTTTATTTTATTTATATCAGGATTGGATTATTATTTAGACTTAAGAGACGTTTGCTAGAAAATAGTGGAAATAAATGACAATTTTTAAGCTATAAACTTATTTAACGAACTGTGGTCTTAATGGTAGAAAAATAGTCCTTTAAATCATTAAATGTTTAGTGAATAGAGATTGAGAGAGAGAGAGA